AAGCATTCAAAATAGAGAATGTTTTCACCTGTTATCTATATTTTAAAATCGACTTTTGAGTATGTTCCACTATTCACAATTCTACAAAATTTTAACAATTTTTAGCCAAGACTGTCTGGATAATATAAAGCAAAAAAATCACCCCCAAGTGTCCACGAACCTGCATCTCTACCTTAAGTAGCAGAAAATACAATCTACGTCATATCTTAAAAAGCATTTGGTGTTTTAGTTGGACTTCATGTTTACTGTATTACATATCAGTGGTGTTGAGTGATGAAAGGGTCACATTCAAGATGATGATTCTGGGTCTGAGTAATACGTAATTATACCAATCAAGTGTAATAATACCACATTTTCAATGCTTCAAAATATGTGTCAGTTAATTTCATCCTGCATGCAGTATATGTTCCCATTTGTAACTTTTGTGTTACTAGGTCCAGATTGTCCGGAAACGTTTGGTTCAAGTTTAGTCAAGAAATGCTTGATGTGAAACATTCATTTTATGGTCAGGATTTACTGATATTAGTAGTAAAATGACAGATTTACCCAAAAAATGTCAATTCATATTGACGAATGTATGTGTTTCCCATCGTCGTCCATTGATTAACATGTTAAATTCACTTTACACAAATTTAAGACATGTTATATGGTACGCTATTAACAGAATACAAATGTGTTCTTAACTGCGTTTATAGAGTACAGATGATAACTTACCACAGCCAAGTTCGTCACTACCATCATCGCATTCATTCCATCCCGTACAGTTAGAGTCTTTACTAACGAATTGACCATTGGCGCATTTAAAATGTCCTGAAATAGACAAGACAAGATATGATTCAGTTTTTACTTATGACAGTACATCCGTCGATCATAGTCTCAATAACTGTAAAAGCAAACTGCTCTGAAATGATATTACTTATTTGTGAATAAACATTATTGAACATTATTATTTACTACCACGCCACCAATTACTGATACGCCAAGTACCACTTATATCAACTAACACACAAGACAGAATGGAGGATATGAACGGCAAAATCTGTACGTCTACAGTTCCAATAGACGTCATTCAGAATTGCAATAATCATTTCGTCAATATGTAGGTGAGAAATTATTCAAAATATAACGGAAATTTATTAAAATAGCATCTAGATGTGTTGTTAATAAACCGGCCACAATAACAAGTATATGGTAAGCATGTGGTTTCCTGAAAGGTGTATGTCTATGTTGCTGGATGAATTCAACATATCATACTAAAACAAGTATACCGAAGTAGTAAATTACTTATCACGTCAATTGACTACATGATTCATAATGGCTAAGAACTCGTGTGTGTATATATGTCTGCAATGTTAAAATACGGTCACGGTTGTATCTGGTTCCCAATGACCTCCTGATTTTGACAACATTCTTCCATTTTTTCATTACATTTCGATAAGGTTAGTTATATGTTGACGAAAGTCTTGTCATAACGTAATTTTAATAATTTATCAATCTACGAAAAAAAACAATTATACAGTTATATTTAGAGATCAGAGAAAAAAGAAAATGTACCAGTTGCGATTATAATTATTCATTTACAAGAAGTTGGTAATGTACAATCTTTTGGAATAATTACTGGTATATTTGTTTAGTATACTAATCTCACAGATAACATTAACACAATTATCATGCGGAAATGCAGTATTCTATTCAAAATTACGAACAGTGTGTCTTAAATCACATTAGTCACCATTCATCTATGTTGTGTCACGATAATTGCATTTAGCTTGTTTATAAGCCATTCAGCTTCATTATCCCGGGAAATTTTACATGATTGGTATATTCGAAATACACGAGCTCGTGACCATTTCGTTTATACACGATTCAATGTATCATAATGCAGCCATATGTATATCAGATTACCTAAGTTATGTAAATGAATTTAGCAAATTATCTATATAACAAACGACAGCAAAACACGAGTTAATGTATTATAATTCACTCTACTGTGTTGCACATTATATCTTAACGGTTGTTATAGTGCAGATATTAAAGATGAAAGATTTAAAAGTACCTATACGCTAAGTAAGAGTGATTGCTAGGCTTAACCAAAACTTTAAAAAATATCAGATTCTAAAATTGCAATTTTGTAGAGCAGTGTAGGTTATAATAAAACAACCATTACTAAAATATCCTGAGATGGGTCTGCATGCAAAGGTACGCTTATATCTTAAATCACAATCACAACTTATCATTCAATCTTACCACAGTTTTCTTCATCGCTGTTATCACCACAGTCATCATAGAGGTTACACACTGAATAACTTCCGTCAATACATTTACCGTTTGTACATTGAAATTGATCATTGATCGTTTGTGCATTCTATAGCAAAATAAAAGGTTTATATGATTTTTTTTCTAATAATGTTTACAAAGCCACGCGAGATCCAATGTTCAAATGTATTACTTGCATTACTTGTATTACACATTCAACCTGAGGATGGTGGGTAATTCTATTTATACATCAATGCACAATGCACAATGCACTCAAAAAATAACATGCCATTGTCCCTTTGTGTTGCCACAAGAAGCGCTGTCTCAGCACAGTCCTGTGTCATATGACGCTTTACTAGCCGATTAGGCTAAGATAGCCCTTCGCCGCCTTTTTACACCAGTATTTATACACGGGATTTGATAATTCTTTTTTCAATTTAAATTCCTGTTTAATCACTTATTTTAGTGAAATATTGATATGCGTCACATCAGTGTTGATAAAACACCGACCTGCAGCATCAATGCTAAAAATGATCAGAAAATAAAGGTTTATTTTATTGCCTTTCATCGGTCTATCGAATTCATTAAAACAATCCACAAGAATAAGTACATCACAATACATTGTCCAACAGCAGGATGTATACAAATATGACTATAATTACTTTAATCAGATTGTGACCCATGTGCCACTGTGATTATGTACATTTCAAATAGTAATATGGCAGTGCATGATCGAATAGTGCTAGTCAAAACCTTGTTGAGGTGAAAACCCCATTTTCAATGATATCGTATTGCAATAATTTACAAAGCAACGGTAAACACCAATGTGCACTACTATAGTACAGTAATGCTATTCGATATTTATCATGTGAGATTCCATTTGCACACACGCAATGTTGTTCAGGTGATAATTTACTGAAAGCTCTACATTGGTGTTCGTTGTTACTCCAATACTCACCACAATTGAGTTCATCAGTAAAATCTTCACAAATAAGTCAGCCATTACATCGATCCCATGGACCAAAACATTTACTACTGTTTTTACACTGTTCCATAGGAGGTACGCATTCAGCTGTGAAACACACGGAATTATATTTAATGCGGTTGTTCATTTGGATACTCCAGAAGCAAAATGTGTGGTTATTTATCTATAAGTGTAATTGAATCACCTAAACATTTAGACCGTTTTACATTTAATTTGGTAACATGCGCGAGAACTGCTAAAATCACCATTTAGTGCGAGTATTTTTGTGAGTAGTACATACAGCTATTTTGATTGACCGTGCGTGTAGTAAAATAAGTTTGAGTGCAATCAAGGATATTGTCAACTGGATGTACCTAAATGCACCTACGTAACATTTGAATAAAGAGAAGACTGATTGCTTTACTTGTATTCACATTTTGGTGGAATCTCTAAATTAAACCTCTTTAGCGTATTTTATTCGAACTTCAATACTTCACTCTATTCATTTCAGTACTTGAAAATAAGATTAATTCTGTCTGTTGAATACTTCTCTTAAATAGTTATGGCATAAATCATCTTCAATGGGAAATTGTAATCTTGACAATTCAAATTTTTGTAATTAGTTCACGCCATAACTTCCGTCATTGTAATATTATTTCGGAAGTGAGATCGAAGTTTTATCAATCTTACATTTGCAAGGTTGTGTATACCATGCATAGTTACATAAAATTACGTGATATTCCACAAACCACAATAAAGTAGTATTATTAAAAAATTATAGTAATTCATAAGAACATTATCAGATTGTTAAATGTCATTTACAATTGATTTGTGGTAATTGTTTTCAGCGTGCATATTTTGATTTGGAAAACTGTGAATTATATTTTATGAACCTGGAACAATTGGCTGTAAATGAAATATATGTTGACCTTAGTTACGTCTAATGCATCACAATTATGTTACATTACATTATCCTCGTCTATTATTGCAATTTAAATAATGCGTTATTATTATTATAAACTTTGCACGAATAATTGTTGGGAAAACTTACGGCAATTAACTTCGTCTTCTCCATTGGCACAGTCAGGATTCCCATCACAAACTTGCTCCATAGCAATACAATTTTCATCACCGCACCGATACATAAAGTCTCTGAAACAATCATTATCATAACCACCAGAAATGGAAGCTACAATGAAATGGTGCATTATATAATTTAATGAGTTTAATGTATCTAATACGATTTACTACTTTTTTATTGGCAAGTAACTTGTCTGAATACTGCACACTATCGGCAATTTCCTCTTGACCTGGCTTGATCTATATAACCTGATACGCCAAATCTTTACACTGATACAGCATATTTGATATTTATGCATAAAAGAAAATAATCAGAATATTAAGTAATTTGACAGACACTGAGGTTTATAATTTTCGGGACAAACGAGATAGATGCATAGTGATGTTCCCCAGATGCGTTATCCATGTAATAACTATATAGTAGGCAACGTATCGTGTAAGAACCATTTAGGTGATAAGTTACAACCAATTCATAGTGCGAGTAACATACCATGCTGAACCATAACATACCAAATATGAATTAAGGCCGATCAATAAGATTTGACGTGACATTGCTGGTAGGTTGTGAATATGTCACTTGAAGTACATTACTTATTGTATTGTATTTGATAATTCACATTAGAAAATGTTCGCTTGTGTAATAACATGTTTACTGATAATGCTTTTGGACGAACACTTATGGATGAAAACCTTTCCAATTAGACTCAACAAATTTATAAAAGTATTTATGTTTGTTTACTATTACCATGTCTTCAAGTGTTATTTGGTAAAGATGTTCTTGTTAATATTTTTTTCCATGCTTTCACTCTACACAACATGGACATCACTTCTTCAGTATGTCTACTCACTAACAAATAACATTTGACTTACAACAATTTTCTTCATCTGAATTATCACCACAACCATCGTAACCATTGCATATTTCCTTCTCTGGTACTAACATACCATTCTTGCATTCTTTTAAATCTGTACATTGAATAAAAAATATAAAATACTTTATTTTCTTCCATGACAATAATAAGTACATGCAATCATACACAAGTATTACACTGAGAACATTATTTACACAGTGAATGTGTGCCGCCACCAATCATTTACACAAATGCAGTTACAATTATAATATATAATACTACAACTTGTCACACCGACTA